GAGGTAGCCTTATTTTTACAAGTCTGTACAGAGTGAGGAAAGAACCTGTATTTCAGTACAAAGATACTGCTGTCATGGTATTCTTAAAAATTGCTTGGCCTGCATTCACATTTAGTCAGAAAGTGAATTGAATCCAAGAGATTGACTTAGATAGGAACTGCATGCACACGTTGCTGCATTTACTCTGCATCCTCTTGAAGTAGCTCTTTAGCCTCTTCATCTGTCAATGCCTATGCTGGGCTAAATTATCAAAACCTACAAGAATAGTTTAGAACTGAGAGATACTGGGCTCTCAGGGATCTCAACTCCAAACGAAGGATCCAGCCTAAGATGGGGAGAGCAGTATTCCCAGGCTGCTGTGGTCTTATGCTCATCTGACTGCAAGGAAAAGGGAAGTGAACAAGTGCTCAGGGTATCTATTTAGACCACAAGTTCATAAGTACATATAAATAATATTTTTTTTTAACTCTTTCTGAGGTATATGTGATTTTTTTCTACTCAGAAAGTATAAAAAGTTCAGAAGACTCCCAGAGAAGGCTGAGTTCTGAAGGCTGAATAAGAAGATGGTATATTATTCATCAGGATTCATTGAATTGGCTGTGACCATTCAATAAAATATGGTTGCCCAAACAACGAAGTCCCACCGAGGAGCTAAATTATGAAACAAATTAGCAGCATTTTTTATGTTGTGTGATTCTGATATATAAGTATTTTAAGAAACACAAATAATATGATCTTGAAATTTCCCTTTACCATGCTCAAAGATAATATTGCAGAAATGACACCAAGGATATCTCATAATTTTTATTTATTTATTTACCTATTTTTTGTTGCTAATACAAATGGATAAAGACATATCAAATTTATTTGGTCTAGTAAGAAAGAGGTATTCAAACAAGAGCATGCTAAGTTTTTCTCTTTTTTTTCTTTTTTTCCCACTCAGTTTGTTCATTATTAAACTACCTCTTCTTTTTATCAGAAAGTTTCTCCAGTCTGGCGCTGGTCATCTGTGCTTTTCTGAGTCTGGTGCTAGCATGCTAGCACTCCTATATGATTCAGCAGGTCTGTACTGTTGACCTGTGCTCAAACAAAATGTTAGGGGATGATTCATTGCTGTAATTGATTCCCATTAGAAGGCACATAAAAATGATGATTACCAAACTTCTTATTTCCCTTTTACAGTTCAGGGAGCTAGTTACGACATCATCCAGTCAAGATTACTAGCATATATCCTTCTAGAGTACCTTTTATACTGCATTGCACTTTTCTCAGCTTTCTCCTCTAGCATGAGAAGCAGAATTGACAGGGAAGAGTGGCCAAAGATGATCTGAAAGTGGGCTGGTGCACTCTGGTGAAAGGGGGGATGGTGAGAAGTACCAGTGCAGTCTGGGGAAGTGTGGGAAATCCTACTGTCACCCACAGCAGGATGTCTCTTTCAGTCTTGCTTTTCTGTGATTCTTCCTGCAAATACCATTTGAAAAGTAGGGTCATGATATACATTAAAAACGTGTGTAGTACTGCTTACTACAAAGCATTACTTTTAGGCTTTTAGTTGTCCTACATAGGGGATATGACTGAACTACAAAGGGTCTATCACCACTTCACCCCCTGTTTTTTATTTCAAGGCAAGAAGGATTGATGCCTTTTATTTTCAGTCAGGATTAATTGCCTGTCTTTATTAAATGCTGTGGAGCTGCTCTGAAAATACTGAGAAAATAACAGAAGGGACCTTGATGAGGCTCAAGCAATGCTGTTCAGAGCAGAGGTCAAGAGAATTGTTTGTGCCTAAGCAGTTAGAGAGCATTTGTTGTGTTATAACATCTTCAAAGGCTGTGATCTTCACTTTTGCCTTGGATCTGTGGCTTATTTCTGTGAGAAGAGTGCAGTTTGAGAGGATATTCCGTGGCTCTGAAATTCTGTGCTGATGACAGCAAAGGCAAAGAGAAGACAGGAGAGATTCTGTAAACAGTCCAAGAGCACCAATCCACAACTGTGCTATGAAGGACAGATATATTTTTGTTGTACAGATGAGAAAAGCAACAGGAGGACACTGGAATTAAATCACCTCAATGTATTAGTACATACAAGTTGGAAAGGATTGTGTGTCTCAGTGAAACTCTACTCTGGACCCATTAGGATTAGTACAGATTAACAGCAGAATTCACCTAAGAGTGATAAACTCTTGCAGAAAATCCTTTGGGGGCACATTGTACTATTGGTCTCCTTTTTGCATTCATTGACAAAATCAGCACCTTGCTGTCATGAAGATGGTGTGCAATTTCACTCTTGTCCTTTGCAGAACACACATTTGAGCAGCATGGAGGAAGGGTCATCCCAAATACAGGGTCAAATATGTGAATTTGGTGAGAAAACGAATGGTACAGACAGGCACCCTGGTTGCATCTATTTTAAAGAGAAGCTTTCCCAAGTCCTGTTCTCCCTGAGCCCATGTCTGAAATAACTGAGCCAGGCTCACCAGCCAGGTTCACCTCTCACCCTGCATGCTGGCCTGAGGGACCCTGCTTCAGTCTTCCCCAGCACTGCAGACCTGTGGACCTCCACCTCAGTGTGCTGCCACTCCTGCCTTTTTCAATCTGTGATAAGAAAATGCTGCTTTAAGGACAGGAGTTGGACTTCAGTGCTCCTCTGTGTGTGCTCATGGGATCAGGCCGCATGCCGAATCAGTGCAGCCCAATAGCTACATACCCACAGTCATGCATGAGGTACTGTTTGCCCCAGCTTGGCCATCTGGACATAGTCCTTTTGGCCTTGGAAAATGCTGAGTGCTGACCTGACTGCAAAGACAGAGAATTTAATGAGCAGAACAAGCAAGGGAGATGAATATCAAGCCCACAAGCACCAGCAAGAATAACTTGTCAGTCAGGAGCCTTCGAACTGGAAGGTTGGAAGCTTACAGCTCCTTCCTGAGAAAATAGAGGACCTGAAGATCTGACCCTGTGCCCTGCATTTACAATCCTCAGAACTCATTTAATCACTGGCCACTAATTGGGTGCCCCTTCAGCTACTTGTTCATCCAGCTGTTATGTGCATAGCTGTTTGTTGCAGAAATGTTACCATTAAACTCTTTTTTTTTTTTTTCCTAAGCATTTCTTCATCTCATCTTCTAAAGTAAACAAACTGTATCTATATCACTGTCCCAGTTTCCAGGCAGATCATTTTTTTTTCCTGTCAACTCTGTAAGTAGGAGAGTTTCTTAGTCCAGCATTGCCACTTGTACTAAGGGTCTGGCCTGCAGTGTCTGGGTTGTGGCAGAAGAATACAAAGGCTGCTTCATAATTCGTATCTGAGAGACTTGACACTGCACTGAGGAATAGCAGCCAGCCCATTTCCTCTGCTGTGTGACTTCTTTCTAGCAGTCAGGTGGTCTGCCCAGAGTGCTATAAGGTGCACACAGAACTACCATGAGGGCAGCTAAGATGATCTGTAAGAATTTTGTTAAACTGTATGACTGAACATACAGAAGGATTTGTAAATGGGGAAATGAAACCAAATTTAAGGGGAGAGAATATAATAAACAAAATATTAGGGTACTAGAAGGGAAATCAGTAAAAGTGGAAAAAGCACAACATCTGCACAGACATTGGTAGGTATAAAAAGTGAGAAAGAAGAAAGACGTTATGTGTAGGTGTATGATATCCTGGGTCTGCTATGGAAAAGCAATATTCAAACAGTAAAGCAAACAGAAATGCAAGAAATAACTAATGATAACTACGATAACTAAGGATAACATAGAAGAACCAAAACATCCTTTACATTGCAGAACAGAAAGAGGACTGGAGATGGGCATCCTATATTCTTTTGAGCACAGCAAGGAGCTCTGAGCTCGAATTCTGTTTACTTGCTGGCACTATTTGCTCAGATGTAACAGCTGCACTTGAGCATAGTTTTCTGCCTCTATTTTGTGGTAATCTAAATTCTCTTTCCTTTAGCAGGGAGAAGGGGTATGCACAGTTCACCTCCAGACTGTAACTGTGTAGTCTTAAAGAAGCCTTTTTACGCATATGAATCAAAACATTTTTCACTATCTCCTCTGTTGCACGGACTATTCATACATAAAAACCTTTCATATAATGGCTCAGGTCTTTGAGAGTTACTAAAGTGAAGCTTGCAGTAACAACAAAGGAAATTTCTGTGAAGTGTAACAATCAGAAACACAGATTTAGCTGCATTCTATCAATAAAATCTATCTAAGTAGACAGTGAAAACAGCACACTGTACAGCCCTATCATTTGTGCTTTCTGATGGTGATTCTTTAAGAAAAAAAAATGGTGTAGGTTAAAAATAAGCTTTTGGAGTTATGGTATACCACAGAAGAAATCCAATCTTCTGATTTGTGGAAAGGTGGCAATGTGGAGAAAGAGAGAATTTTGTCTCTGGCTTCCAGCACAGTGTTCAGTATGCTCCTCCTTCCTTCCTATGCATGGAAATCTCTGCTCCAGACAAGGGAGCCAGGATGCAATCATTTATTTCTTCTATATTGTTTTTCATAGAAATGTCTTTGCTTATCTCTTCTATTAATGGTGTGGTAGGCTTGATAGTATGTTCTTTTAATGAGCTGTGTGGTGGTGTGCTTCCTATTCTCACAAAACTATAACTGTAGATGAAAGACAAATCTTTTTAAGAACGATAAAATAAGCCTCCCACTTCAACAATGATTTTCTGCTCCTGTCTCTTCTGGAATGTGAAGTTATTGACAGCTAGTATTTGCAAAAGCAGAGAAAACAGAAAAACCAATCCATATGAGATGTGCTTAGCAAGCAACATGCCTAGTGCAATTTATCTTTTAATATAGTTTTCCCCAAAAGTATAGCAAAAGCAAGAATTTTAAAAGCTCACGAGTTTTAGACCTGAACCTGTCCTCATAAAAAGAAAGACAGGTAAAGACCACTAGATGGTGGTAAAGACCAGAGCCTTTGCTATCAGGATTAGTGAAAAGCGAAGTTCAGAGGGGCGAAGGGGAGGAGGAGCTACAGTTTGAGTACTGAAGTCATTATTGTTCGGAGACTATAAAAGGACAGTTGCACAGTGAGTAATTTATGCGTGCTCAGCCTTGACTCTATGGATTTACTCATTCATTTTCCTCTATAATGTCATCCGTCCCCACCAAGGAGTCTCCAGCCCCAGATGTCGGGTGAGGAGGGGCTGAAACTTCTGCTCTCTGGAGGAAAGGCTGCAGAAGATGAAGAGCAACTGAAGGAGCAGCTCTTGTAAATAGGTACCGTTAATTCTTGATTGAAAATGAAAGGTTATGTTTAAAAACTGAAAATGATTTTGCCTGAAGAGCTTTGAATTTTACTTGCAACAAGTAATTGACAATCAGCTGTAAGAGTTCCCCGTGTTAAGAATATGATGGCTTACAGCTTGCACTGAATATTCTCATTACTAAAAGACAAAAAGTACTCATTATCTGGAATAGAAAACTTATTGCTGGGCCAGAATTCCCTCCTACTGATTCTGTAATCTCACGGAATCCCAGAATGTAAGCGTTTGCCTTGGTTCGTGGTTTAATACTATGCTCTTAAAATGAGCTTGTTAGCATTGCACAGACAGACTGTTTATAACACAGACTGTGCAAACTTAAGAAGTTCAAAGTTCAGGATGCATGTAAATCTTTTACAGAAAATGTTCAGTTCTTATTTGTAGCAGTATTTCTATATATTGCATTCCAGTGATGAGGTTCTGCACAGTGTAGTACTTTTCTCCTGCATTTCTGGGCTCTGAAATGCAGGATAACTGCATTTATTCTGCTAATTGTCTATTTATGTTTGGCAGAATTTCCAGGACAGTGTGATTGCTTCTGGGAGACTGAATAGGATAAACTAAAGTACAAAATAAGAGTGTATGAATCTCTTCATTAGTGTGTGGCTTTAATTTCCCAGTATGGATGGGCAGAAAAACTCTGAGCCAAGTGGAAGTTAATTTAGAATCAGTAGAGGAATATTGTGTTAAAGAGGTAGGATGTGTACAAGCCAAACTAAATAGAAATGTTTGATATTTGTCTTGTCAACTTCTGCCTGTTTTTGTCATGCTCTATTTTTTTTTGGCAGGGTCTTTTGCCCTTTGGAAAATGCATTTACCACACTCCTTGGCAAGTCCCTCAGAGAGAACAGAAAGTGTTTGCTTCCAGACATGAACACATCCTCGCAACTGTATTTTTCTGAACTAAACCTGAGTGCCTTTGGCAGCAACTTTACGGTGCCTACTGTAAAGAGCAAGTCGTCACCATGTGAGCAAGTGGTCATTGCAGCTGAGGTGTTCCTAACCCTGGGCATTGTAAGCCTCCTTGAAAATATCTTAGTGATATGTGCAATTGTTAAGAACAAGAACTTGCATTCACCCATGTATTTTTTTGTTTGCAGTTTAGCAGTGGCTGACATGCTGGTTAGCGTGTCCAATGCTTGGGAGACCATAACAATATACTTAATAAACAATAGGCACATAATTATGGAAGATGCCTTCGTCCGTCATATAGACAATGTCTTTGATTCACTGATCTGCATATCTGTGGTGGCTTCCATGTGCAGTTTGCTGGCAATAGCAGTAGACAGATATATCACTATCTTCTATGCCCTGCGTTACCACAACATCATGACGGTGAAAAGATCGGGGTTTATCATTGCATGCATTTGGACCTTTTGCACAGGCTGTGGCATTATCTTTATTCTTTATTATGAATCAACTTATGTTATAATTTGTCTCATCACTATGTTTTTTACCATGCTGTTCCTCATGGTTTCACTGTACATCCATATGTTCCTCCTGGCTCGTACTCACGTGAAGAAAATAGCTGCTTTGCCTGGGTACAACTCTGTCCATCAAAGAACCAGCATGAAGGGAGCCATCACTCTGACCATGCTTCTTGGCATCTTCATTGTTTGCTGGGCTCCATTCTTCCTCCATCTCATCCTGATGATCTCCTGCCCTCAAAACCTCTACTGCGTTTGCTTCATGTCTCACTTCAACATGTACCTCATTCTCATTATGTGCAACTCGGTGATTGATCCCTTGATCTATGCCTTTCGTAGCCAGGAAATGAGGAAGACTTTCAAAGAGATAATTTGTTGCTATAGTGTGAGAATGGTCTGTGGGCTATCAAACAAATATTAGGAAAACGAACCCAGGGAAGAGAACTGAAATGCAGCATCTTGCATCACCTTGTTATTCTGCTGAGAGGCCTGTGGAACATCTTTCTCTAGTCAGCTGTCAAGATTTTTGTGGCAATCAGAAACCGTTTTTTTCTTTCCCTCCATGCACCACTCTCTCATGATTGTAGGAGCTACTCTGTGCATCTACACTGAAGGGAGAAAGAATATTTTGCATCTCATTTACCCTACTGAAGAGTCTGGATCTTACAAGAGAACTGCTCAGGGAAAGCCTTATTTCCCTTTCTACCAAATGTGACAAGTGTGACTGGCTGTGTAAATAAGCCCATCAGCATCCCAAAACGTATTTCCCTTGATATTCATTGTCTCCCTAGATACAGCATGGCTCATTTTGATGCCTAGAATTATTATTTTTTCTGCTATCTTGCAAAGAGGTAGTCAGAAAAGTAGCTCCAATTACGAGGGTTCACATACCTTGCTCAACAAAGTTATGATCAATATGTGTGCACACATCAGTGTCTTGTATTCTGGTTGTAACTGTTACCGTCATAAAATGTGTGGTATTTAAGAAGAAAGCATTGCAACAAATTTCTTAGGTTGGACACAGTAGGTTGTCATCTCTGACTGTATGTGTTCTTATAATGATGTGTGTGGGGAGATTTTAAGCCTGAATACAAAGACTGAGCTAATTTTAGTTTGTTTTCCTCATTCCTAGGGCTAGGCAAGTAAAGGACATGTGACCTCTAGCTCATGATGTAATGTTTTTTTTTTAGGAAGGAATGATCGGGTGAGTGACTGCCTGTATATAGGAGCTAGAAAAGCATTTTAGCTAGGAGCATCATTTATTAGAGGAAGCCATGCTGTAGATTGCATTTTTTAAGCTGTGAGAGACAAAACAGGTTTGACAATCAGGAGGGACAGCAGGCAGACAGCAAAAGAAGGATCTCAAACATGCAGCTACAATATGGAGTACTAGCTTTTGCTCCCCAGACAAACTGTTTTTATCTTTGCTGAGAGGGTTCTGAGGTGAAACTCTCATGCATTTTATGTGACCAATTTGCACCTAGTCATGATCTCATAAGCATGCTGTTCTGCAACAGCTGTATAATGTGCAAAATATTGAATTTGTCACAGATTAAGGAAGTGCAACTGTGGCATTGATTTCCTGATGCCAGTGGATACATACAAGCTAGGTAAATATTTCAAGCAGGGGTACCCTACTGACTAGCTGTCAGAATATAATTTAGGAAAATGAATCCTTCCTTCCAAAAAGCCTAAGGAATAATGCTGTTATATTTGGTCTAGAGATGCTCTGATGATATTGTTGTCAATAGAAAGATTATAATTGACTTAATGAACCTTAGATTGTCTTTCTAAGGTGGAAAGTTCTCATTGGATGTTGTGAGCAGGTTTTTTTTTTTTTTTTTTTTTTTTTTAGCATAAAAGTGGTCAAACATGACAATAGATGCCCAGCAATTTCATACTGTCCATCCTTGGAGATATTCAGAACTTAATTGGAGACAGCTCTGAGCAAACTGTTCTACATTTAAAGCTGACTCTAACCTTGAAGTTGGCCATGCTCTGAATGATTTGGAATAGAAGACCTCTGCAGGTCCATTCCAATCTGATCTGTTTTGTGATTCTCTGAAATACCTTGTGTATTATGATGAAATGTTTATTTTTTTCACCTCCTAACTTAGTCTCTGTGTAAGAACTGTAAAATAATCTCTGTACACATTTAAAAGGATAACATACTTTGTATCTTCATTTGCTTTGGAGGTCTCTGGCAAGATATCTACTTCAAGATAAGTACCACTAGAGTTATATATTCTATCTATCTGCTGCAGCTTGAAATATATACTGCCTCTAGCTTGCACGTACTTCCCCCAGGCATGAGTGGGAATGTTTTTCTCAGTGGAGACACTTTGTAATGTTGACTGTCAATATAATGGCTACAGCAGTGCATTTGGTGCTGGACTCTTCCTTCAGTTTTATATAAAAATAGGATTTCAGAGGTACATTTGTGATTGGTAGTGAGCATCTTGCCTTGTTTCAGTCCACTTCTTGGCCCTATACATAAATGAGTTTTGGGAATGGGCATCTGCTACTAGGAATGGAAATACCAAAAATAAAACAGCTCAGTTGCATAGCAAAAGGCACCAGTTGACATTGTAAATAAATCACTAAATCTTCACTGGTTACAGCAAATAAAACAGTTTTGTACATAACTGTTTATCATTGAATAGGAAGCCAAAATTGTAATGGCTTTGGGTATTTTCTTGAATTGTACATTACTTTCTTTTTTTTTTTTTTGTGTTGCCATTTTATTTAATGTAAAAACACAAACACATGAAGAAAATATTAAACTGGATTGTTGGAAAACCCAGTATTTTTGGTTATTTGTTTTAATGTGTGCTACACTTATCACTAATCTACACCTTGTAGATTATTCACAGAAGGAATATTATATTCTAGGCTTTCTATTCTCTTTATAAACAGATGCCTTGCTAGAAACATTCTGGCTGAGTTGCAGGTTCACACATGTGGTTATACTTGAAGCTATATTCCTGTTGGTGTGAGAATCACATCCGCATTATACGCTTCACAGGTGAGAACGAAGTCATCTCAAGGTGGAAATGAAAGCATTTTCAAGAACAGACTAGACCAGTCTCTGAAAAAAAAACAGTTTGTGTTTACACTATGGGATTTCATATCAAACATGTGTAAGCTCATAACATATTTTACTCTTTCTTTCTCCTGCTTCACTAGAGAAATGAAAGGAATATTTAGCATGCTTTCCCTTCATAGAAAGCATTCTGACAGACTGGAACAGACAAGCATAGTCGAAGCATGAAATTTGCTGTCAAAGAACAGCCATGAAAAAATTAGCTGCTGGGCAGCTCTTGCATATATACTGCTAGAAGTTTAGCGTTTGTGTCAGTCACTGAAAAGAAGTAAGCTTTAATCAAATTGTTTCTATTCCAGAAATTCAAAACCAACTTTCTTTTCCCACTGCTGCTTCAGTGACCAGCACTGCTTCCAACTTATGTGACAGTATTTTTTTTTTTTTTTGTAAGGAATGACTCCGAATTGTAATCTGTATTAGATGGATTCAACCTCTATGAACTCACAGAGGATGATGAAATCACAGATGCATTTTAAGCAGTTTAGTGGGAGCTGGCAGAATATTAAAACAAAACAAAACAAAACAAAACAAACCCCACCAACCTTTCTAGCTGCACCAGAATTTCATCTCATGAAGCTGAAGACTAGATTCTTTGTTCCATAACAGTGAAGAGTGGGGGTTATGATGCATAAATGACTCTGTGTCCAGATTTATGATAGCAAGAAGGGAGGGAGTGTTGATCTGCCAGAGGGGAGAAAGCCACTGCAGAGGGACCTGGATAGACTGGATTGATGGCCATGGTTAACTGTATGAATTTCAATAGGGCCAAGTGTCAGGTCCTGCATTTTGGTCACAACAATCCCAGGCAACTTTACAGGCTTGGGGAAAAGTGGCTGGAAAGCTGCCCTGATGGAAAGGGACCTTGGTGTACTGATGGACAGTCAGCTGAATTTGAGCCAGCAGTGTGACAAGGTGGCCAAGAAGGCTGATGGCAGCCTGGCTTGTATCAGGAATGGTGTGGTGAGCAGGACTAGGGAAGTAATCCTGCCCCTGTACTCAGCACTGGTGAGACCTCACCTTGAGTGCTGCGTTCAGTTTTGGGCACCTCAGTAGAGAAGGGACACTGATGTGCTGGAGCAGGTCCAAAGGAGGGTAATGGGGCTTGTGAAGGGCTTGGAGAATATGGCCTTGGATAGACAGAAGGAACTGGGGCTGTTTAGTCTGGGGAAGAGGAGGCCAAGGGAAGACCTTATTGCTCTCTTCCCATATCTGAAAGTGCTTACAGTGAGAGTGGGGTTGGTCTCTTCTCACTGATGACAGGTGACAGGATGAGAGGAAATGGCCTCAAGTTGCACCAGGGTAAGTTTTGTTTGGATATCAGGAAAAACTTGTTCACAGAAAGGGTTGTTAAGCACTGGGATAGGCTGCCTGGGGAGGTGATTGAATCACCAACCCTGGGTGTGTTCAGAAACCATTTGTGGTTGTGGTGCTCAGGGACATGATTTAGTGGTTGGTTGTTTGATTTCGGGTGGTATAGTTAGGTTGCAGTTGGACTCGATGATCTTTAAGTTCTTTTCCAACCTGAGCAATTCTAAGATTCTGAGATTCTGTGATTATACTGAGGTGCTTCTGCTGTTGCTGTAACGTTTGCTTGCTTCTGCAGAGTGAAGCAGATGGCTGACTTTTGCCTAAGATGGGATTGCCAGGATAATCACATACCCCTCATGTTCCTACATCAGCATTAGGAAAACCTAAATCTTTTCTCTCACCCAAGGCCGTACTGAGGTATGTGGAAAGGTTAGTTTTCCAAGAGCTTTAACATTTCCTGTAACATGATGCAATCTTAGCTGAGTGGAGTAAAGAGGTCCTTCCGCTTAGGTTATCACAACTTGGTCCAGCCTGACTTCCCAAATGGGCACAAGTCTGCCAACAAGGGCTCTGACTACTGAGTGCTGCTGCCTCTGTCTCTGGGCTGGGTTTAAGGATTATTTTCAGCTCTGTGATGCATCCACCTGTGCTATTTGTTCAAGGAGTGTTCATTTCCATTTTGGGCCTGGATTGTACATTCTTACTTCTTATGCTTTTCCTTTTAGAAACACCTGAGTCTCTGAGTCTTTCTGGAGACTTCGGTCATGTTCTTCAGGAATCCTGTGCAAAAGAAGTTCAGAAACCACAGGAATTTCCTACACACAGAAACTTTAAGAAGACACAAATCATTTGTGAATCGGTGGGAAAATAGCCAACTCCTCCCACAGTTGACTCTTTAAAACCTCAAAGGATCCTGTTTTATCTCCAGAACTTTGGTTAGGATTCTCCTCCACTCCTTCAGTAAATTCTTCTTTTGCTGATGATCAGCTTTAAGAACAGACCAGATCATGGTGGTCACTGCAGTGTACAGGGTTTGCAATGGACAGTCCCCTTCAACCACACTGGTCTGCATGCACCATGTCCTTCTTGTCGGGCATGGTGGATGAATAACATGTTAGAGTTTGGATGTGAAAATGGGAATCAGGTATGGTCATGTGGACAGGGATTGAATTGCCTGCATAAGTTTCTTTGCTAGGTTATCTGGAATCCTGAAATGTAAATTTTTATCAGGTTATTGCAATAGTGTACACAGCAGAGGGGTTTGAGCTCAGTGATCTTTAAAGGACCTTTCCAATGTAGGCCACTGTATGATTCTATGATCACCAGGTGGAGCACAAGCCTGTGAGGAGCGCCTGAGGGAACTGAGATTATTTAGTCTGAAGAAGACAAGGCTCAGGTGAGATCTTATCACTCTGTATGAATACTTGAATAGAGATTGCTGCAAGATGGAGGTCGGTCTCTTCTCCCATATAACTAGTGATAGGACTAGAGGGAACAGCTTCAAGTTGCACCAGGGGAGATTAAGGTTGGATGTTAGGAAAAACAACTTCTCACAAAGAGTAGTCAAGTGCTGCAATGGGCTGTCCAGGGAGCTGGTGGTGTCACAGTCCATGGAGGTGTTCAAGAAACATTTAGTTATTGTACTTAAGGACATGTTTTCGTGGGAAATATTAGTGATAGGTGGATGATTGTACTGAATGATCTTAGACGTCTTTTCCAACCTTGATGATTCTATGAAATACTTTTGTCCTTACCTATTCTTATCATTTCCAGCAGCCTGAACTATGAGCATCTTGGATCCAGCTGGTTCTTCCTACAGAATGGAAAAGGAGAATTGTTTCTGTTCTTACATAATGCCTACACAGGTATAAGGCCTCACTGCTAAATATAGACTAAAATAAAAAATGACATAAAGAAATGAAATATATGTAAGCATGTATATTTATTTTTCTCTCTAACCTTTCTGCTCTCTCTTTCAGTTATTTTTTTGCACTATTTTGCAATTTGCATATTTTTTCTTGAGTATTTCCTCCAGCTGTGAACAAAACAGCAGAAATCTACATCTGAAGACAAAAAAAGTTTATGCCTCTTGCATCCTGAGATTTTGAAAATTATGGTGAATCAGTGTGACAGAACAGAGTTCAACTAGTACCCATCACACCAAAGACTAGGTGAAATTTAAACTCTTATGGTCATAAGAATATTTGTAAAGCAGTTTTTTTTTTTTAGCTCCCTATGTAAAAACCCCTAAGAACTCAAAACTGAGCTGGGCCTCTATCAAACCAAAAAGGAGTTGTTCTGGGTGGAATTTGATGGCTGGATGTGCATGATAATCCTATGGAATACCCTCGAAGCTTCCAGCAAGCTACACTTCAGAGACTTCTTAGGCAGGTTATATTTATGGCTTTGTGACTGGTACGTTTCCACGAGTGTTTCTTATATGAATGCATCTCATA